GGATATACTGGATTATATTAGATTGGTCAATAAGACCATTATATTAAACAAATACCCTTGACTAATGCAGGGGTTGGGGTGCCGACTTCCTACTCTGCATATACTTTACAGCTGACCCCTAAAAACTACAGCTTTGAACTGTGCCAACCCGAACTCCAGCAGCTGCTCACGTGGAGATGATAAGCTGCACGCAACACTTGAGCTCAGCACAGCAGCCGGGGACAAAAACCCATGTCTTGATGGCCTGTGCAGCTCACGCCCATGTCAGCTAACTTACACGTAACATCCAAACTTCTAAAACAAAAGAAGAAGAAAGTCTGCAGGTCGCCGCTCCTCATACACGCAGATGAAAAACCTCTAACAAACCATTAACAAATATAATTCTGCAATATAGACATAGAATTATACTCTAGTGATCGAGGAGAGTTTATCTAATGAAGTAAAATAAAGCGAAAGAGACAGTGGGTTCAGTTAGTCATTCCACCCCCCACCTGGCTGTAGTTGTCAGTGAGGACTCAGAGCGGCCCTAGGCTGAACAGCGCGAACACCACCTGGCCTTGCAGCAGCCTCACTGTTCTCCTGTTTGAGCCGTGGGTGCAGCTAGCCTAGCACTTAGAGAAAATCGGCTTTGCTTCTCCAGAGGGAAGCGCTTTTGCCAGAATTGTGCAGAAGGAGCCGTTTGCCTCCGGGGGGGTAGTTCCCTGTGCCGGACGTGTTCATTCATTTCATTCCACAAACGCACATGAAACCCAGCCCCGGATTGGACCCCAGAACCCCAAGACGAAGGAGAAATGGCCCTTGTTCCTTCAGAATTCGCAGCCTGCAGGTGGAAAGGGGATTCTAATATCAATTCGTTTCAGGTCAGCACATTTTTTATTGGACGCTTGCCATCGTCCAGGCATGGTGCTGCAGCGTACTGTCAGCTCTGAGGATTTTGGTCACTGTTGCTTTTTCATTTTTAAGATTCATAAATAAAACCTCACTGCCATCAAGTTGATCTGACTCCTAGCGACCCTCTGGGGCGGATAGATCTGCCCCTGTGGGTTTCTAAGACGGAAACTCTTGACGGGAGTAGAGCGGCTCCTCTTTCTCCCAAAGAGCAGTTAGTGGTTCTAACTGTTGCCCTTGCCGTTAGCGGACCAACACGTACCAGTGCGCCTCCAGGGCTCCTTTTAAGATTCATAGCTGTCAGAGATTAGTAATTAGAAACAAACGCATCGTGATTCTGTGTCAGGAGAGCTCTGTTCCATAGGGTCCCAGTGGCTGTTTGGGGGAAAGTAGGTCACCAAGCTTGCCTTCCAAGGTACCTCTGGGTGGTCTAGACCCTTCCACCTTCTGTGAGCACCGCGCATGCTCCACCACCTGGGACTCCAGTAACTTAGTGTTGTTAAGTGCCATCGGAGGGGTTCCAACTACTTGAACGCCCCGATGAGCAACAGAACGTCCGCTCCTGCTCCAATGAGTAGCATGTGCAAAACACACGACATGTAGGGAGGACCTGGTGAGCCTTATGCTTAAGGAAATGAACGCTTGATCGTTATTGGCATCATAACCACTCAACCTGGTTTTTCTGTCCTTCACACCAGCTCCAGCGATCCGTGGTGGCATCCGGTGAAAAGCAGTTGCAAGTGGACTACCGCATCAGCAAAAGGTACGCAGGCGTCTCCTGAGCAGAACCGAGACTCACCGCCACTGGTCCATTCTGACCCTAGAGGACACGGTGGAACTGGCCCTGTGGGTCTCCGGGACTGTAACTCTCTGTGGGAGTAGAAAGCTTTGTGTCTTCCTCTCAGAGCCACTGGTGATTTCGGATTGCTGACCTGGCAGGTAGCACCCCAACTCA